ATTTTATTAGTTTTTCTCCATTTTTTAGCATTTTTTGTACTCACTGTTTAGTAAGTGGTGTATCTGAACTTTTGTTATATTTTGAAATGAATTTTTGCTACTGAAATGTCAAATAGATGAGTGTCATAGTCCTATTACAAACAAATTTAGTGAACAGGGGCAAAATGATCATTTTTTTGAAACAGCAGCCCGATAGCTGTTTTCACACAACTACAACAAACAGACAGCCAACTTCCCTACAGCAGCTTCCCCGCAACAGTTTCCTGGGGCAGCACTGCTGCAGCTGAAAAGCTGAGAAGCTGCAGCTGTGCCAAACAGACCCTCAATATAAGTTGTATGATACAATATTTTAGTAATATAGCTAAATTTATAAAAAAATTTACTCTAAAAAATTATGAATAGACCCATGCATTCTCTACATGGTGGGGATTAGGACTTAAGTTTAACAAAAAAAATAGAAGATCTGAATAGCTTAAAGCTCTAACTAATGTTTAATGTCTACTATTAAAGGCAAGCGCTATCTAGCCATCATCGTCCTATCAGCATCACTTGACCGTTATCATCATAGTTTCATCAACGTCCAACTATTGTTGCCAAATTGTAGTTGTTCGACCACTATTGTTAAATCATGTCATATGATCACGCTCATCTGACTGTCATTGTTCTATCACAATCACCAAATTGTGTCTAACAACCATCACCTGATAGTGATTGTCCTACCACAATCACCTAATTGTATTATTCAATTATTATTGACTGTCACTCATCATCTTCACCTAATTGTCTCCCAACCATCTTCTTCTAAATATTGTCGTCCAAGTGCCATCTGTCAATCACTATCATTATCTAACCATTATTTGAGCACAATTATATTTAAATTTGCCAAAATATTAGTGTAATATTTTGTTCTCATTTTTTTCCAATTAAAGGGAGGAGCAAGTCTTTATAATTTATATACACCTAATTGATTATTTTAGGTGAGCTAAATCCTTTGATTTTTTCTCATTCTATGTTTTCCAAAAAAAGAAAAAAAAATATGAATTTTCTTAACACTAATTATTTGCCGCATATTTTCATTCATGTAATAAATTTAATAATAATAATAATAATAATAATAATAATAATAATAATTATTATTATTATTATTATTATTATTATTATTATTATTAGGAGAGCTATCACATTCTTTTGTGAGCTTGACTTCATCAATAATGTTTGCTTAAGTTTTGTTTTTCAAGGGGAGATAAATTTTGTTGCTTTGCTTCAATTGATTGGCCATCTCAAATTTTCATAAAAGGATTTGTATTGGCCAATTGAATTTTATATTTAATATTTTGGTAAAAAAATGTATATTTCATATATTAAAAATTATGATATTTTATTTTATTGAATACATATTAAATAAATAGATTTATATGCTGATGCTGATGATTGCTGGTGTCAACTAAATGATTACAAAATATTTTAAAAAATTATAATTATTTTTAGATTTTAAAAAGAACTTAATTTTTTCTTAAAATTGAAAAGTAGCTAAAAATATGAAGAAAAATATTTAAAAAATTTTAAATTAATTAAATATATACCATATAAATTTTTAGTTTTTATACACACAGAGTGAGTGTAAAATAGAGAAAGAAATTCAATAGTTTTTTTTTTTGTAATTTTTATGATTATATATTGCACCTAATATTAACTGCAGTCAACTAGATAAGTTTCTTTGGACTACAAATAAACATTACTCTATTCAGAGAAAAATTTTGTTAAAAAAATATATATATATACGCATTGTAATCCTAGATCGAAGCAGAGGCCTTTGGCGTTCCTTCCAGTCAAGAATCGGGGCCTCACAATCACTAGACGATATTTCTCTCATGTCTTTCTTCGTTCATGGTTCGATATTCTGGTGTCCTAGGCGTAAAGGAACCACACCAATCCATCCCGAACTTGGTGGTTAAACTCTACTGCGGTGACGATACTATAGGGGGGGTCCTGCGGAAAAATAGCTCGACGTCAGAATGATAAAAAGCTTAACACCTCTTATTTATAAATAATAAGGGACATTTACGAGCATAGTATGCACAATTTCAATTTATATATCTACTTCTAAATTTATTTATATATGTCAACCAAAATATTCATATCAAATAAAAAAAATATTACTATTTTAATTTTTAAAATGTAAAATACAACTTTGTTTAATATAATTAAAGTGACATATATGTAACTTTTTGAAATTTAGTTACTAGATATGTAAATACATAAGAAATAAGTGGCATGTATGCAAATCTTCCAACTAATTGACACATAGAAGCTCAATTATGACCATAAAGGTTTCAACTTTGCCAGCACCTGCCATTCATTAGGCCAATGAACTTCAGAAGTAGTCCTTCTGCAAGAAGGATGATATTTGTCGTTTTGTGATCGCGAGTTTAGTTTGAACTTACGTTCCGCTATTTTAGATCTTGTTTTGATGTTTCAGAAAGTAAAAGGTCCAAAAATACCCAAAAGTTGATTATAGCGATAGTTCCGACATTTCTTGTCACATGAATCTTCTTGGTCTTAATCACTGCGCCTGCAAAACAGGGAAAATATTTGCGTACATAAGATGTACGCAGCGTTGCGTACGTCAAGGGTTATTCGGGGGTACAAGGGGGTTATAACTGGGTTATACCCCCCGGGTTATTCAGGGGTACAAGGGGGTTATAACTGGGTTATACCCCCCTGTAACCTCCGTGTAATTCCCTTGTAATCTCCGTGTAACTTATTTGTACCCATGAAACTACAGAAGCGCGGAACTCATTTATAAGTTAGAGATAGTTTACAAAGAGGTTACATGGGGGTTACAGAGGGGTATAACCCCAATATAACCCTCCTGTACCCCCTAAATAGCCCCTGGACGTACGCATTGCTGCATATATCTTATGTACACAAATATTTTCCGCAAAACAGAGGTTGATCTTTCCTCTAAGAGCGAGATCATCAAGCGAAAGATTGCGACAATTCAAGGCGGAGGAATTGCTGTCAATGCCGACAAAAACTATGGGCGTGAAGATATGAGGAATAAGGGAACTAATAACCATTGGCTGGACACCAAAAGAGTGAATCAAGAAAATAACAAAATTGAAAACACCATAGAAGACAAATTTTATCATAACACAATACAAGAGAAGAACAAATTGAGACGAGATGGAGGCGCCATTGAAGATAATTTTTGATGTCTGGGCATGAGATGCTCGTGTTGTTTATCGCCAACAAGCATGTGGTTAACGACCTTATACCGAAAGTGGCAGTCCGTGCCTACCGTGAAGAAATAGGAGTTTGTTGTAGAGGCTACATAAAATTGGTTAATTAAAATCAATATTAAATATGAGTTGCATTTTAAATATATTTGCTTATTTTGATAACCCATCTATTTTAATAATATATTTGCATATTTGGATAATGTCTTTCTAGCTTTTAAAACTCCCATAAGGTTTTAGGGTCAATTTCATTTAATATGAAATTTTAGGTATTAGATATGTAGAGAGTAATTACGAAGGAAAAGAGCATTTTCGATAGGAAATTCACACGCATACCCTTCAATTAATTTGTATTTACATATAACCCTTAATTTTGACATTTCTTTTTATTATATTTCAATGTTATAAATGTTATATATTTCACTTCTAAAATTTTTTATAGTGGTGATATTTTTGATATGATATTAATAATTAGTGTTATGTACATAAATGTGAAAGCTTAGATTTAGATATGTAAATACATAAAAATTGTGTGGTATTTATATAAATGCCCATTTTAGCATTGTTATTATTATTTTTAATCATTTATATCATATAAAAATATTATTAATAATAACAAAATAAATTATTTCGTAAATACATAGATTTTCTTAATATAAAATTAAAACTTAAATATCAGATAATGTAAATATTTAAATATTGTGGGATCATGTAATTATTTTGGAAGATTCACATACATGCTAAAATCTAAACTTTAGCTTTAAATAAACGTTAGCTTTCTTAAAATAATTGTAATTTGGGTATGATATGAAATATTTTTGTGGTATGGATGAAATAAATGGGTGGTATATATGTAAATGCCCTTTTTTTCCTCTCAACAACTTGAAAAATTATTGCATACGGACACCCCATGCAAAGATACATGCAGTGTCTGATCCTGACCGTAGATCACTGTGATCCACGGTAAGGATGTATTTCGGTGGGCCCTACTTATAACTTTTTTTTTTCAAAAATAAATTGATTGCATCCTGACCGTCAGGATCAGACACTGTATACAGATAATTTTTCCAACAACCTCAGCGCACTTGAATCCCTAAAACCTGGAAAAATATTACATCAATACTACACACGTAGAATTAACGTGGCTAGCCAATGAAAGCACGCCACGACACCCCGCGTGACAGGGAAAAAAAAACGGCAACGTAACACGGGGAATATCCCCCCTGTGTTATTCATGTGTTATTGCGTGTTATTCATGTGTTATTGTGTTATTATAACACCAAGAATATTCTCAGGACACAATAACACATGAATAATACATAATAACACCTGAATAAGCGGCACAGTAACACGGGAGAATATTTTCCTCCGTGTTATTCATATGTTATTGTGTAGTATTATGTGTTATTAATATGATATTAATGTGTTATTGTGTTATTATAATACCAAAAATATTCTCAGAACACAATAACACGCAATAACATATAAATAACACATGAAAAATATTTTCTTGTGTTACTCAATCATTTTTTTTTTCTAATAAATGACGTATTTTGATTGACTAGCAACTCATATTTTTTCTAAGCGAGCTTCACGGTGCAACGGACTCCATACCCTATGCGGCCATGCCAGTCCCGAAGTTCTTCCGCAACAATAACATATAAATAACACATGAGAAATATTTTTTGTATTATTGAATCATTTTTTTTTTCTAGTAAATGACGTGTTTTGATTGACTAGCAACTCATATTTTTTCTAAGCGAGCTTCACGGTGCAACGGACTCCATACCCTATGCGGCCATGCCAGTCCCGAAGTTCTTCCGCAATAGGCTGTTAAGCCGACTTCTTCAACTCAATCGGAGAAAATGAACTCTGATTTAATTTTTGGAGCTCTTCTGCTCGATAAAACCCCATTTATGAAACACGTCAAGTTATCGCTTCTCCTTGCAAATCTCTGAAAATCATGCTTATGCTTCAGACTCTGAAGATGCCCTTTCGACGGGCATCGAGGGCTTTCGGTTCATCCATTCTTTGGAACAGGTGATCTATCTTTGCCGTTCCTTTGCTTTATTTTGTTTTTTTTGTGATTTTTGGATGAACAAACCCTTCGTGTAGTATTTGGTGTTGTATGATAGTGTTACAGTATGCTTCAATGTAGTTTCTTGGTAAAGACTCTTTTTCGAGCCGGTAGGGACATTTCTTTAGTTGTAGTTAGTTGGCTGTTGCTTCTGTGTTTTCCCTTTCAACATGGTCTGAAGTTCGAGTTTGAAGATTGGGGGTCCGCTCGATCCCCCAAATCATATAACAAAATTATATTTTAAAAAAATGGTTGATGGAGCATATTTCCAACCTAAAAGTGACCTGGATAGACTAGATGTAGATATAGAAAATGAAGTAGGCGAGGCATATTAGCACTCGTTAATTTATCTGCCATAAGCTCCTACATGCATGCTCTCACTGCTTATTTTAAGACCAACAATAAAGTAGGAAATATAAATGCCATTTTTTTGGAAGATTTACATACATGTTACTCAGTTCTTATGTATTTACACGTCGTCTAACGCCTAAAGTTTAATTATTATGCCACCTTACCTATGCATGAAAATGTTTATGTAACTTTTAAAAAGTTAAAATGGTGGTATTTTTGATGCGACATGAAAGATTTGAGTGGCATAAATCAATGCAAAAAATTATGCAATTGGGTGTTGAGACGTTTTCTTTTTGTGAGGTGAGACGTAAACCTTAAGGCGGTCTGAGCATAAGCATCATACTTTTTAAATTAAAGCAAATTAGAAGTTTGAACCTCATTCAAATGTTGAAATTTAATCCTAAAATGTAGGAACTCAATCTGCAAGAAAATGCCTTACAAGCATTCAAACTGATGCGAGCATAATTAAAATTTAGTGGAAAATTATTGGATTGAATTAACAAACAGAGGCATTTCATATGTTTGACTTGTGCTTTTCGCGCCCTTTTCTTATTCTAGCCGAAATAGTCTTCTTAGCTCCCGTTCACTTCAAATCGCCCTTTCTAGGCCATCATTGCTTAAAAATATAAATGAAAAAAATGATAGATTGAAGGTGTACAAAAATTAAGAAGAAAAGATATTTAAATTAAAAAAAAAATTAATATAAACTAGAGAAGAGTGATTCAAAGTAAATCTGATCATACTCAATCCGAGAAAATATGCGAGAATGATCCTATTGAAAAACCTTTGTAACCAAACCAGAATACAAAATTAAATATATTTTACTCTGGATTCAAAAAGATCTCCCACGACGACATATTCTCGTTGTCAATTACATCCTGAAGAAACTAGGAAAACTCACGATAGAAGGTGTTGTGTTTTCTTAAAATAATTTTAAAACATATACTTAAAGAGATTTTTGGCAGTCCAAGTAGGGGGAGATCCTCTAATCATCACTCATCACGACAAAGTTAGGCCAACAAACATAGGATTAATCACCATAATTTGCTGAATAAGCACTGATGAGCTAATAGGGCTTAATGTGCACACTTACAAAAAGACTCGACAAAGAAAATGACTATGCTCAAAGGGGTAGATCAACATGTAAGTCAATGAATAACCTAGACATCTAGAGATAACTTGTTTGGTGCTCTATGGACTCGTCCTCTCAGATTATTGAGACCCTAGATCTACTAACTTGTGAAGGTAGTCAACCCGACTCAACTGGGGATGATTTTGTCAACAACCCATGTGCTGCATCGTCCGAAGCAATCTAGCAGATCCGAAATCCAAGAAAAGGATCCTCTAAGTTCTTGTTACTTTTCTACACTAAAAAAGTGGAATAGAGATTATAATTGCCAATGATATGAACATGAAACCTGTACAAAATGAAAGATAAATGTATAACTCAGCGTCAAAGCTAAGCTGCCCCATAAAGGACTTATATTCCTGTTTGGACTGTGAGAGCCTCTAGCACACTATACCATACTGGACAACCACCTAATTGTATAAGACGTATGCTAAACCAGTCATAATGAAAAGCATGAGTACTTTTCGTTGGTTATGCTGCATGTTGGCAATCATCTATAAAATCCTAATTGTGGATGCCTCTTATGATCGTTTTAAAGCTGGTCCAAATGCCATACAAGAAAGTAAAAATAGGAAATAAAAGTGCTAATTTTAAATTCTTGTAATTTAATATTAATTTTTTTTAAGATAAATCTTTTAAGATTAGTTTTATAGAAAAAAATTTATTTGAAAAATCCTAATCATGATCTTATCCAACGTATCACATACATAAGAAAGAGTGAATACATGTAAAGTGCAGTAAAAGAAACACTGGATATAAAACAAAGGCTAAGTGCTGATGGGCTGACTATAATCTCAAAAAGGAAAAAGTGGTGGTTAGGCTGCACATATACATACCCAAATTAGAACTTTACAATGAATGTACAAATCTCAAATAAGGTACGAGACATGAGCAAATATCTCCTAGTTTTCTCTACATGGTTACTACTCGAAGCTCCAATAGTCGTACTCGTATTTTATTTCTAGTATAGACTCTCCTACGGGACTCTAAAAGTATATAAAAAAAAATTTATTAAAAGACTCGACCTGCAGAACAAAAGTCAGAAAGTGCTATCTCATGCAACGTTTAAAAGACTACATCCGATGGGAGGAGAGATAAACAACGTCTGCACAAAATGCATTAGTTTAAATTACTATTAAGATTATCCTCATTGGATACAACGTCCTGTAAGAAAAATTCACCATATTTTGCTAATGCGCAAATGTCAAACTCGGTAAATCATGCAAAAGACACACAAAGTGGACAACAGCTAGTACGAGCCAATGAACAGTAGTTGTGCATGAAATCCCTAACCACACTCTAGCTCTAATCTTAAAAATAAACTACAAGGTGCTGCTTATGCATACATCTATGAGAATGACATCCAAGGTGCCGGGTTTAAAGGACTTCTCGTAGGATCTTGACAGTGTTACCAAACTGGCCTTGTCCCGAGCAACTGAATGGACTAACCCTCATCGTGAGTAATGCTCATTTCTTTGTTATCACCATAGTTCCAATTGAGGATCATCTGGGTACTGCCACTAATATGCAGATTCTTGAAACTTAAATTTATATGGTGCGACAGGAAATAGAGTCATACTTAGAAAAGTAAGACCTCACATGCATAAGCACGCACAAGCAATGCATAAAACATGCCATAAAGGATATACCTCGGGAGCTAAGCCCTAACGACACTAAAGTCAAACATCATTGAAAGAGGATAAAATAAAAAAAAAAATTGCTTGCAAATCCACGATCATGAGATAAAATAAAAAAAAAAATGCTTGCAAATCCACGATCATGAGCTTTGGAAGGTAAAATCCCAAAAGCTCAAACTCAAAGTCCAAATGTTATAAAAATGACGAAAAAGAAAGTCATGCAAATGCTGATAAGAATGCAAAACGTAAATGTGCAAAGAAGCACATACTAACAAATGCAGAAAGCACAAGAATCCCCTCTCCTATTATAAACAGGGTGCTTTTATGCCGTGAAGGCGATTTCTTAGAATGATCTCTACGATCCGTAGATGAAAGGGGTGCGTCGACTCACAATGCAACCTAAACCTAGATAGTGACCGAACTTAATATTATCATACACTCCTCACACAAATGATATGCAATGGTGAAAGACGGAAAAAAACGGGCATACGTCTGACCGTGTCGACAAACGACAGGAACGACGTAAGCCCTGCCGATCAATCAAGTAAAGCAGAATCACCATCCATATAGAAGAGTGTACCAAGGGTTTGGGAGGGTAATTGCCAGGTCAACAATCTATAAAGATGGAGGACCCACTTATTTGGAATAACTGAACTCAATCTAAATACATGACCAAAAAGGTAGTCGCCACATATACGGAAGGGTGTACCAACGACCAGGAGAGATAATATCATATTTTTTATCTTATAAAAGCCAATTAACGATAATCTAAAGCCAGTAAAACAAGTCCCGACTCAACGACGGATGTCCCGTATCCATTGCACAACCCAAAGTAGTGCATCTACTATGGGAGTCATAAGGAAAAAGCAAGGAAGAAGTTTGGTTTACTACCGATACCGTAGTACCAAAGGCTAACACTACAAATATTGGAGAGGACCACGACGCCGTATTCTCGTCAACGAAAATACTGCACCCGACCGTAAAATAGAGGCTTACGTTCCGTCACCTGAACTAGTGTTGTTACTTTAGCGTAAAGAAGAAACAAGGTCCACTTAGGGTCCACTGAGAGCAAAGTTGATGCCTGGTTTTGCCATGCCACCTCACGTCATTGTGGAGGCAATATTTTGCGGCTATCTAAAGGGTGAAATGATAGTCAAGTGCCGAGAGATGGTACTGAAGAATCCTTTCACACCTGAAAAGCAGAATGATGCCATAATGCTTGAAGAGTTGCATTACGGGCATTACAACATCGTGGCCAACTAAAGGCGCTACTCTCAAAGATGCACTCACAAAAAACATAGCTGATGCAGGGAAGCACAAGGATTTAACTTAGGGATCCTCTAACAACATTATGACCTAGTTTCTCTAACACAAAACTTGGGGATTTCCTAGAAAGGAAAATTTGCAAAAGGGAGAGATATCTCTCCTATGCGACGTTTGGGAGACGTTCCGCACTTGAAGTCTGAAAGGCCGTTTCACAGGCTCTCGTGGTCACCATGAACTAGAACAACAGTGTCAAGGACTTTGCCATGATGGAGAAGGAAGCCAAGGCAAGAGGAAGAAACGACTTGTTGCGATTAGAAGGGAGAAAGAACCACGATCTAGAAGCTTTGAAAAAGCTTGATGTAAGTACCAAAATTCAACCCTCGAAGTTAGCCAAAAACTCTCAAATGGCCAACTAAAAAATCTCAAACCTTAGGGCAGCTTTGAACTGCCTCTTTTATAGGGAAAATAAGTCAGTATGACGTCACGACACCGTTGATGTGTCGAATGCCACATCAACAAAAAAGATAGAGCGCGACTCAAGGCCTGGTCTGTGTCAACTAAGGCGCCACGACTCTTGGAACAATGCCTGGACGCCGCTGATGTGGCCGTCTTCACATTAACAAATATTATTGTGGTTTTCCAATCGGGAGCCGCCATCGGGACCGAGTAGTTGGGGGCGCTGTGACGTTGGGCATCATTGATGTGTCGAATCTAGGTCAGCTTCCTCAATGATACTTGTCCTGCCAGGGCTGTTAGAGTCAAGATCATGAGCCGCGAGGCCGTTGTGGTGTTGCTTGCATAAATCACAAAAATTGGCCAATTTGGTATTGGGGCGCTCCAACGGGTGTTGGGAGCTCCCGAAAGGAAATATAATAAACATTGCGAGTCACAGAAAACATAACACATATAATATCAAACTAGTAATGGTACTATTAATATCCAAAAGAGATTACATATTCCCAATATCTTATAGACGTGGAAGACAACACATTCCTACGACTAGACAAAGAAGGAAATACAAAATAACAACAACAAAATAATGGGGCTTCACCATCCGCCTCGCTTTCCATCTTGCTCGTCCCTCTTGCCGTACTACAATCACGAGAACACTAGATCGCTTTCTCTCACCTCTTGTAGGCTTCCTCGTGCCATTTGGCCGGCATATCTTATTATCGCTCGATACGATTGAGCCAGCCCATGATGGAGTCTATCCTCTCTAGAATAATGTTTACCTTTTGGTCGAGCAGAGTGACATTTTCCCACAACACGTAAACATACTAGGGCAAGAAAATATTGCGAAATGCTGCAGTGTGATGAAACCATACAGCCCTACCCAAGTATCTTTGAGGTGCGACAACTCTCGATGTAGAGTGAGCATTAGAATCAGACGTATTGTCTCTCAGGTCGCCGTTGGGAGCATGGCTGGGGGCACGATTGGTCTCTGGCCTCATTGCACGGGCACACTCTCATAATGCCATTTTTGAATAACATAATGATAAAAGGGGAGACATGCGACACAACTTCATTACAAAAAAAATTTGGCTTATCAAAAAAGTTAACCTTGCCCCCAATTTATAGACAATCAAGTGCCATGATATCAGGCCCGAATAATAACTCCTTCGGGTGGGGCCATTAAATGTTTATAGGTAAGGCACCGCGGAGTTGACATCTGGGTTGAGGCGCCTCGCAATCCGAAGCACTAAGGTGTCAACACTCTCTTTGAATGTGTTAAAGGAGCGCCACAACACCTAACCCAAGCGCCGCAGTGTCATAATCAACGGCGATCGGTTTTGGATATGCGTCTTATCATTTGGAGGGCATCGACGCCGTCATCGAGACTGCAATACCTGGCCGCTATTTATATTAAATCAAATTTCGCTGCTGGGACGAGTAGCTATCTTTGGCAATGCAGGTCCAAAAAAAGTCTGGAAAAGCGGGGTCAACCTCAAAAAAGGCAAAAACAATGCAATCAATGGCTCAAGTTATTTTTTGGGTATGCATGTATACCACTAAATTCCTATGTATTTACATATCTAAGAATCAAACTTTAATTTTTTACTTTTATGCCACTTAAATCATTCATATTATATTAAAATTATCACACAATGTGACTCAAAATTGTAAATTGAAGTTTACGCGTAGATACATAAATATGTATGAATTCTGTGGTATATACACAAATCTTCATTTTTTTGGGGCATTTACATATCCCCCTTCTTATATATCTACATATCTAACACTTTAACTTAACTTTTTTTTTATAGCACCTAATGCTTCGACTGTTCAATCTAAATACCTACAGGTTCAACAAACATAAACGAAACGTAGCGCTGGTAGCAAGAGGATCTGTCAGCGTCGTCATTTAGTGTAGTAGGTGGTGTCATTCCATGCGTGAGAGGGAAACATGATGCTTGCAAGAGACAAGTGCTTGCGGGTTTGAACGAAATTGTAGCAGGTGGTTTGGCTGCGGTGGCACTGTCGTTGGCGGCAGGAGGATCATGCATCGGTGGTATTGGTTGACGACGTCGTCCGATGCAGCATGCAACATTGTTTGTTGTTTGAGATAGAGATGGTAGACTTGCGGATTACGAGAGACAATAGCATCAAAGGCAAAGTGGACGCCTCATCAAATCGAAGGCAAAACATGTCTTATGACATGCCTTAGAATACCTGAAGCGTACGCCTCGACCGATTCAAGGGACGGGTACGTCTCGACCAATTTGATCAATGCGTACGTCTCGACCAATCTGAGTGATGCATACTCCTTGACCGATCCGACCGATGCATACGCCTCGATATGAAAAAAATTGGGATTGAGAAGAGGCGCACCTCTAATTACACAATTTTCAACAGTGGTATAAATGTAAAAAGTAAAGTTTAGCTATTGGATATGAATTGGGTGGTATGTATGTAAATGCGTCTATTTTTATTTATACATAACATAGATCCAAAGGGTAGTACACCAGGAAAGCAACCGAAGTTAATTCTAGGCATAAATACTAGTAGATATTGTTTCGTCATTGTGATTGTTGATATGCTTCTAATATTAGAATCTTGTCTTCACTTAGCTCCAACTTCGAAGGCCAGACGTGCAGGAAAATTATTTGAGAGAATACATTGATGGATTTAATTGGCCAAGTCTAATGCAAATAAAATAAATGAGATACTTACCAACCCATTTAATCTACTATTAACATCCTCATCTGTATCACCATCGCTTTGAATAGCAAACCCGAGATATCTAAATCGTTCACACCTTTTAGCAATTTGATCACCCAAAGTTACACTTCTGTCACTAGAGCTACTGCTACTAAAATTACATTCCATGTATTCAGTTTTAGTTCTATTCAAATGAAGGCCTTTAAACTCAAATGTAGACCTCCATAATTCAAGTTTTTCTAGGTTTTTTCTCTCGTCTTATCCACGAGAAGGATATCATCAGCAAAAAACATACAACAAGGTACATCCTCCTATAAATGTCCAGTAAGACCATCCATAACTAAAGCAAAAAGATATGGGCTTAAAGCCAATCCCTGATGTAATCCAATAGAAATAGGAAAATATTTGGTCAATCCTCCTTCAGTTCAAACACAAGTAACAACCCCAGTATACATATCTTTAATGACTTGAATATAAGTCGTATCAACACCTTTCTTCTCAAGAACGTTCCAAAGGACATCTCTTGGAACCTTATCGTAAGCTTTTTCTAAATCAATAAAAATCAAATGTGGGTCCTCCTTTTTATATCTGAACTTCTCCATCAAACCTCTCACTATAGCTTAATACCAATCTAAAAAAAATTGAATTGTGAATTTTTTATCAACATCAGCTGAAATTTCTCGTCAAAGATGAAAATTATATAGAAGCACATGGAAAGGGTTTTATGTATATGATTAAAACGATAATATGTTATGAACCTTTTTTTGTTTAGGATATACTCTGAATTGATAAGTTTTTTCAACTTTTGAAGTTTAAACCGGTCAATTAATTTAGTGGTGATTAAAGAATTTAGGATTATTTAGTTTCAAAAGATTTTGACTACTGAATATCTTTTTATGAACTCCTTAATTTTGAGGGCACTGACTTGAAGTAGGGTTATCTTTTGCAATTTAATATTAGAAATTGGGACTAAGCTAGTAGATGATTATAAAGCTATGGTTTTAATTTATTGAATATGTGGAAAATCGGTGAGCTAAAAATTGATGAAGAATTAGAATTTCATACTATACATTTTTTTCTATTTTTCTTACTTGCAAATGGGGGTTTGCCTAGAAGTTACACATTAATTTGATATATGTGCTAAGTTTAGATGTAGACGGAGAAATTTGTGTGTTTTTGTGGATTTTGATCCCAGGATATTGTCTTGTTTAGTATATGTTAATGTATTTTTTAGATTAAAAGATATTCTTCCTTTTTATTCAAATCAAATGGGTAATTTTCCTGTAGTTGCTACAGGACGGAATAGTTATTGTCTCCTAGGCTTACTTGCCTTTATGGGACCATTCATAATGAGCATATATGGTCAGATTTTAATTGATTTTTTTTCTGCAAGTGGTTCTTTAAAGGTAGGAAAATATTCATTTTCCTTTGTAGGCCTGTTTCTCACAGATTTCAGTATCGTGCTTATGCAAAAGAGTCAAACTGTAAGGACGGCAGGCTTACAAGAAACATTTTGGAAGAAGAAGAATCATCGAGTTCTCAATCATGTGGAAGCTATATCGTTGTATGGTAACTGAGAAGTTGTCAGCAATGTTTTATTGCCTCAATAATTTTTACTTTTTTACATTTGGGTCCCTGCTAATTCTTTTTTAATTGCGGACACAACCTTTTGTATTTTTGCAGCCTGCAGCCCTCGTAGTGTTCATCGGAGCTGGTGCTTTCATCCACTATAATGATGAGAAGCGTGCAATACCTAAAGGTATCACTTTGTTGTTGATTTTGTTTTTTTTTTTCAGTATATTTTTACTATATGGATAAGTGAATGCTGGAAACTTTTATCTAATGTTGAATTTGGGCTCAGTGTCTAGAAGAAATCTGTCATTTTCATGCATTGAATGCGCTTTCCAGTTTTCTCCAATCAAAGATAGACAAGGTGTTGACAATTAATAGAAAATTTGTCATTTAGGATTTTCATTCTTTTTTAGATGAATGATATGTTGTGAAAAATTGTAGTACCATGAGAAAGATGGAAGAGGACCAGATGGAGTTAACCAAATTTTGATGTAAAATGCTTACTTAGATGCAGAAACTGTCAACCTCCAGATGGAGTTAACCAAATTTTGATGTAAAATGCTTACTTAGATGCAGAAACTGTCAACCTGAGAATGCTAATTAGGTGTATTATGCAAAATTGATCTTTCTTTCGTGCATGAGGATTCCTGGAAGCAAGGGGGTGTGATTAGGGATGTGTATTATTTGGTTTAAACTGAAAAACCGAACCGAACCGAGTCAATTTAGTTGATTCGGTTCGTTTTTTTTTACGGTTTTAGAAATGTTAAAGCTTGATTTCTAGTTCACGGTTCAGTTTTACATCTTATTTAACCGAATGAGCAGAAAACTGAAATTTCTAGATCAAGCTTTTTCAAAATGTTCAGGAAATAAAATTTTGATTGTTTAGCATTATGTAATTATCGCTTAGTAATTTTCATTTTCTCTAATTATCATCGTATTCTTATACCTTCAAACTATATTTTGGTTTATGAAAAACTGAATTAAACTTTGGCTTGAATAGTTCGGTCTTATTAAAATTTTGTTGGTTTGGTACTTTAGAATTTGGTTTTGGTTGAAGTCGGTTTGCCCAATTTGAAAACTGAACCACTGAACCGACCGAATGCCCACCCCTACATACGGTGTGATAGTTCTAAGTTGTCTTAGGCTAGGAATTCTAAACACAAACTGCTAAAGAAAGGGCTCTCATTCAATTTCTACTTCTGTATTTATTGATTTTTTTTTTCTTTTTTTCAAAAACTTCCAGAGGGAAAAAAAATATGAAATATTGAAAAACGTAATGTAGGTGTCCCGGTCATGTTTAATCGGCTTCTGTAAGTTTTATTTGAGTTACATGAACTATGATTCATTGGGATGGCCTGGATTTGCTTTACTATCTCATTTCCTGATTGGTATCTCTAACTTTCTGAAAACTATCTTCTACTCTTATGTTATTGATAGCCATTCCCAAATCAGTAGTTTTTTAAAGGGACTTATATAGATTTTGAATATTTATTAGGTGCAGTTTTTTTCAAGCGACTTCTTTAGATTTTGAATAAATATTATATGCAATTTGCAAGATAGTTGTGCAGTAATAACCAAGTTCATTAAAAGCAGCCGGAAGGCATCAAATTGACAAGAAAAGCTATGCTCAACATAGAGAACAAGAAATTGCATAAATAGTGACACAAGCATCCGGGCGGGAATCCATGAATGCAGAAGGCGCAGCGGGTCTGAGAGAGTTCACGAACACAAAATGCACAAGATGCTTGTACCACTTTGGTCCAAGTGTTTTGAGTGCCAACTGACTCCACTCCTTAGTTACCTTAGATATGTAAATATGTTGTTTTCGTGTGCTAGGTCAGTTTTTGGTTGTGTTTTCTATCGATACAGTTGTCGACATCTCCAAGCTTTCCTTTCTAGGGCTGTATCCAAGGGCAAGTGTTGCCCTTTCTTTATCTCCTTTCAAGGTGGTGATTTTCTTCGACTTTTCCATCCCCTACAACCTCTTCTCTGTTGCCACTATCACTGTAACTACTGCAACCGCCCTTATGAGAATACCTTTGATGTCTCCTACAACGCCCATACCTTCCATTTGCAATCCTTAGCTGCCCACCATCCAACTTCCCTACCCTAACTCTTCCTTGCCTTCTATATCCATCCCACTACAACCACTTCTTCCATCTGCAATCAACTATAACACTTTTCCTTCCCTGCAATTCAAACCCATAACACTTCTCTAGTCCAACCGCCTGTAGGCAGTCGCCCCTCCTACCGTCATCTGCCCCAAGCCACCAAACACCATTCCATCGTGTAGCCTAACAACAACCCCACAACACCCTGCTTGTTGCCTTAAATCCATCCAACCAATCACCGGTTTGTTGCCCCTCAACCATACTATCCTCCATACATATTATTACTTCCTCTCAAATTGCACCACCACCATTCTCAACATAAACCTTAGTTTCAGTTTGTATTGTGTCTTTTGTTATTTCTTATCTGAGTGTCTTGGTTTTAATCTTTGTTTAATTTCCTCCTTGAACTTTGCATTCTATGTTGGTGTTTTGGTTTACTCTGGTATCATTTGATATTAAAACTAGTCTAACTCTATTTCTATCATAGGGTTGCCTAAATCCACCACTACCTAACCCAATCTCCACCCAAATACCCTTTTTTTGTTGATTTTATAAATTGGCCATTCTAAAATTTTTTTGTCCTTCTTAAATCACCTCCATGCACTCTCTTTCATCTACCCAAACCCTAACCACGTCATCGAGGAGATAATTGTCGGAAAACAGATCAGGAGGAACACAATGAGGCTTATGAGAATTCCACAAAGAAATTTCCAAGAACTTTCTAGAGAAATCTTCTAAACTTCAATAGAAGCTTGTCGTATTTGACAAGAAACAATTCGAAAGGGTCTCCTTTAGCCACAATTGTGATTTGTCAGATCGAAAGGATGAGGTGAGTCACTTTCATAAAGCAGTTTCTAGTGTGAAGAACCACTACTCAAAGATTTGACATGAAATATTGGAGAAGTCAAATTTTTTATGTAAATGTGGATTTGTCATATTTGATGGTCACATGGATTCAGACGATTTCATCAAGTGACTATGGATAGTGAAATATGTTTGAGTACTGGGATGTCCCACGGATGAAACAGTGAAACTGGCCGTCAATAAATTAATCAAGAGTGCAAGTGGGGGGAGAACTTGAAGATTCTTCGACAACGAGAAAAGAAAAGTAAACTTTCTATCTGGTCTAAGATGAAATGAGAGATGCAACGCGAAGACTTATCAGTTCTTTACAAATATGATGTTCAGACCTTAGCTTCAAAAGTGGAAATACAGCCGCATTGGGTGACTGTTACATCTTACTGACAAAGTCCAATTCCAGGATCAAATAACAAGAGTATGTCTTGTAGAGTATCCAAGCTAACCCCGCCCGAGGAGAAGCTAATTAATTGTGGAGAATAGGTGGATCCAACCAACATTTATAAATCTGTCCCAACCAGAAAGTGCGTTTAGTGCCATGGTTATGAGCAAAGTGCATCATTTTGCCCAAATAAGAGTATGATCTATTTCATTGAGTAGGGAGCAGTTGAAGAATAGAGTAGACACTGAAGAAGGTGGAGACCCAAAGGAGGGGTACCAACTTCCTACTGATGAGGGAGAGATACATATAGTTCAAATTAATCTATGAGAGAGCCTCCAATAGAATTAACATTGGTTGTCCAAGACGATCATGATTTCGAAGAACTAACACCAGTTATATGACAACCCAATATAAAAGAATTTCATACATTCCAGATATATTTTTTATTTTAAGAGCTGTTTCTACTGAGGGATGTCCAACATGTTAGGGATGGGAATCTTTTGCGCCACTTCTGGAAGATTATACTGCCATTTGAGTATTAAAGTCAGTTCAACAGTGTACCCACAGGTATACCCGCATACATATGATCAAACATGATGGATGAACCACTATGTTGGAAATCGCCTTAAGAGCTTTGTGGGAAAGAACAGTCTATAATGAGATCCAAGTCTCACCAAAGGAGAAAGACCTCTTTTAAGTGGTTGATATTCAGTATTACCCAACATGCCATGGATTTCATCTCAAAGTTGATTTCACTTTACATACTTGTTTATAAGATACATTCAAATGGGTACGAAGTGTGGAAGAAGCATAATATAGATTTATTGCTTGAGATTTGACTCATGAGAATCTACATTTATATGCAACTCCATCTTATGTTGTACCAAATGAGGATGGATACTTATTCTACTAGAATATATTTTGGAATGACAACACCTGCATGATTGACTTACTAGTAAGTTACAATAGCTCCTCCAATTTCAATATGATCGACCTGACTCCATACTATGGGAAGACAAAAGCTTCAACAGATGAAGTCGAAGCTCCCCCCATTCTTAGGAGATTGATGCGAGCCTCTGGGAGCAGGAATCCACGAATGCGGAAGGTGTAGACCGATACCGGGAGCGGGAGTTCAGGATTGTAGAAGGCGCATGCTTGGTTGTACTGCCCTTTTAAGTATAGGGTCCCACTCCTTTGTTACACTTGCTCCTTAAGTATATTATTTTCATATTTTAGGTTAGTTCTTGGTTGTGTTTTCTATCAAGATAGTCATCGATATTTCCAAGTTTTTACTTCTAGGCCTCTATCCAAGGGTTAGTGGTGTTCTGGTTGTATCTCGTTTTGAGATGGTGATTATGCTCAACTTTCTCATCCTCAACAACCTTCCCTCTGCTGCCGCTGTCACCGTAACTGCTGCAACCACCCCAAGGATGACAACTTTGTTGTCTCCTGTAGCTCCCATACCTTCTATCAACAATCCAGAACCACCCACCATCCAACATCTCTGCTATAATCCTTCCATGCCACCTATATTTATCCGAATTCTTCTACCTGTAGTCAACCGCAACCCTTTTCCTTCCCTACAGTCCAGCAACATAACTCTTCCCCTTCCAGTCCAGCTGCGTGTAGCCAGCCGCCCCTACTACCATCATTTGCTGCTAGTCACACAACCCCCTCTTCCCTCGTGCAGCCCAACAACAGCTTCGTAACACTCTCCTTGTTGCCTTCAATCCATCCAATCAACCACCGATTTGCTCCATCTCGATCATATAGTTATCTATACCTTTTACTTCCCCTCAAACCGCAACAACCCCCCCCCCCCCGCGGCCTAACACCCTTAGTTCGAGTTTGTATTACGTCTTTTGTTATTTCTTATTTCAGTGTCATGATTGTGTCTTTTGTTATTTTTTATTTTAGAATGTTTTCGTTGTCATCTTTATTTGATTTCAATAATAAAATATACATTCCCGCTGGTGTTTGGGTTAACTCCTGTATCAAATAGAGTTTCTTTATTTTTGCCTTTCATTTGTTATTTCTTATTTTCGAGTGCCTTGGTTGTAATCATTTTTTGATTTCAGTAATAAACTTTGCTTTTCCTGCTGGTGTTTGGGTTAACTTCATTATCAATTAGAGTTTCTTTATTTTTTGCCTTTCCTTGTTTTCCATTGAGGCTACTTTGCCAAGCTACTAATAGAAAATAGAAGAGAGAGAGAGAGAGAGAGAGAGATTTTAGTTATCTTTGACATGTCATTATGGTAAGATGGGCATGGTTAATGCATCTTTAGCAAATTAGGGCATGATTTATACCACACCAAGAAAAATGGTTGGAATGACTCAAATTTTACCATTATGGCACTTCAGATAATATTTCTTGTTTCAGTTTTTTCTTCGGTGGTATCATTCATTTGATTGTCGCAGCCTTTCATAGCTCTCGTATCAGTTGTCTCTACATTATTTAATTATTATGCTAATCTGGCAATTTGAGTTGTGTATGATGTTTTGGTGCTACATGAGTTTATCTTTAGCAATGTTGCTCCATGATATATGAGTTTTGGAAAACTAATTAATCCAACACCAAAGGCAGTCTATCCTAAAGAAATTAGGCATTTATAAATATATACGCGAGTCATGTATGACTAACCTTTGGCTTAAAAAAAATTTAGATTCCCTTCCATTTGGCAAGTGCTTATTGGATGTTGAGTTCTTATGCGTAGTACAAATGTGACTTAATTTTTAGGGGGAGCCATCTCCTTGTAGTGGCCTACGGCCTGATTATTTTTACTTGACGAAATGGACTTAAGACTCGAATTATTTTTGGGAGTACTAGATTTTAGTCAAATTTGACACAAATCAGGTTATTTTGTTGTGGTGTGAATCCCATTTGTACTTTATTTTTTAAGTTATTATTTAATTATTTAATTTATTATTTGGTTGATTGTTGACTTCTCGTTTGACACCCATTTCTCATATATGTCATTTACATTAAAAGATGATAAGTGCTTATTTTGATTTGTCGCTTTTGAAATTTAAATTTCCTATCCAAATTGTGTCTTACATAGAACGCATCATAAGGTTGCATTCAGAATCCTCTTATGGAATAATATTCTTCATGATCTGAGAAGCTGATCAAGTGTTCTGTGGTGCTTTACAGAATTCATATTTTGCGCTGATAAAATAAATATTTGTTTCGAGAAGCTTCTTTTGATAGTGAGGCATTACTTGTTGCCAGATGAAACCCTTAATTGCTAATGCCTTATTTAAATGTACCCCCCAAAAAATTTAATTTTGTGTCCTCACGCAGCATAAAAACTTCGATTAATTTTATGAGCTTGTACATTTCTCTTGTGTTTACAATGCAGGCTGATGGGATAATTTTAAAATAAGATAATTCTGAAATTTGTACTTCACTCATGAAATGCATACTCATCAATTTTTGGAAGTTCAAAATATCGATATTTACTTTTTTATCTATGCTTCATCTGACAGGATCAGAACGAAGCACAGGCATTGGAAAGGCTGATACCAACAAGCCAGCAATAGGTGGCCCATTTAAGCTTTTTGACACTGAAAATCATTTGGTTACAGAGTCCAACCTTCGTGGAAATTGGATACTCTTGTACTTTGGGTACACTTCTTCCCCTGATGTTGGGCCTGCAGAGGTTGATAAAATGGCCAAGGCCATTGATATATTAGGTGTAGTTTCTTCTGGCATATCTTATTAGGTTAATATGTTTAAATTTTCTGAGGTTCTTTCAATCAATTCTTTCTTTTTGATATCTAATAGTTAGGTTGAACTTACTAGAGGCTTTTAGTATGCATCGGTCTGGCTGAGTGATTAATCATAGAAATCTATTAGGAAATTTACATATGTAGCACACAATTCTTATATAGTTTCATATCTCACATCTATACTTTCATATTTACATACATAGCTCTTAGGTGCTTTAAACCCATGCATGAAAATGTAAATTTCACTTTTAAAAAGTGGTAATAGTGTTAATTTTAATGTGAAATGAAAGATTTGAGTGCTATGCATGTAAATATGATGGTTTAGGTGTGAGATATGTAAATACATAAGAATTATGTTCTATCTACTTGTTCTTGTTTCCAAGGAAAATTTTTTACTGGTGGCATCATTATCATCCTCCATATCCCTACCACTTTCTGTAGTTGTATCCGTTTTACTCTACTTCTGCTGCTTCATGCTGCTTCGAATTAATGAAACGATACAGATTTTCGTACTTTTCTTGTAGCAACCATAAGTTGTCTGTTGCTGAGAAGAAGAAAATGTTCCTTTAGCGGGTTAATATTAGAATTTCAACAATAATGTAGTCAACATATGATCAAATTTAAAAATAAGGTCAACTAAATGATCCCTTTATTTTCTGGTAAATTCATTTTTAATACTACAAGAACAAGCCTTTATCCTACTAAGTGGGTCAGATACATGAATCCTCTTTCTCAATGGTGTTCTATTGAGTGTCATATTTTCATTTAATTCTAACAAATTAAGATCATTTTTTATATAACATGCCCAACGTCTTTTTAGGCCTGCCTCTACCTTTCTTAACATAAGTCGAATCTAATATGTACCCTCCTAACCAGATGATTAGATAACCAACGTTTAATGTGGCCAAAACATGTAAGACGACTCTAATCTTCTCTGCCACTGGAAACTACAACTCTTTCACGGATACAGTTGTTTCACACTTTGTCTCTAAGTGTCAAGCCATTCATCTACCTAAGCATTCTCATCTCAGTAACACTTAACTTTGTTTTATGCTTCTCTTTTTTAGGCAACATTTTATGCAATAAAGCATTGCTGGTCTCACCACCATCTTATACAATTTTCCTTTAAGTCTAAGTGGTACTTTTCTATCACACAATAGGCCTAATGCAGTCCTGTCCTCCACTTCAACACTTCAACCATCCAACTTGAATTCTACTAATAACATCCCATCTTTATCATCACACTTTGTATAATAGAACCGAGATATCTAAAGTGTTTACTACTTCTAATGTTTTGGTCAGCCATTGTTACAACTCAATCACTAGATCTACCACCACTAAATTTTCATTCCCTTTATTCATTTTTAGATCTACTCGAATAAACGCATTTAGACTCTAATGTAGACCTCTCTAATTCAAGCTTTTCCTGAACTCTTTCTCTAGTATTATCGACAAAAAGTATATCATCAACGAAAAAGATACACCAAGATACATCCTCCCTAGTATACATGTCTTTAATGACTCGAATATAAGTCATATCAACACCTTTCTTTTCTAGAACACTCCAAAGAACTCCAAAGAACTTCTCTTACCTTATGTAAGATTTTTCTAAATCAGTAAATATTATATGTGGATCCTCCTTGCTATTTCTGTACTTCTCCATCAAACCTCATTTCTAATATTCATTATGTAAGCTTTTATGCAACCTTATGTAAGCTTTTATACAACCTCATTATCTACTTTTCACATTTAGCAAATTGAGAATTCTTACTTTGTGAACAATCTATCTTACATCTCTTTTTTAGATTTGGCTTGAAATCTCTATCCTCAATCATTTCATTGGTTTTCTTTCTACATAAATTTTTAGCGCACCCTAACATGTTCTTCCAGAATCAAAATATTCTCTCCCATCCTACATCAGTCATCTTGCATCCTTCACTAAGGATATATATATATATATA